ATCCTGCTGTGATTTAGACCAGTATCCCTGGTTCCTGAGTGTGTATATATGTCTGTGTGTATGTCGTATGTAACTAGGTGGTGTGTCTGTCTTTCTATGTGTGCCTCTCTGTGAGTATGTATGTGTGCCTGTGTGTGTTTGTGTGTCTCTCTCTATGCATATATCTATGTGTGTCTGTGTGAGTATATGTCCGTTTATGTGTCTCTGTGTATATGTGTCTGTATGTGTCTTTGTGTGTATGTCTCCCTGTGTGTGTGGTGTGTCTGTGTGTGTCCTGTATGCATGAGTGTATGTGTCTCTGTGTGTGAGTGTGTATGGTGTGTCTGTGTGTATATGTGTATATGTAACTGTGTGTATGTGTGTTTTGTGTATCTGTATTTGTGTGTGTGTGTTTATATGTGTACAGGCACATGCATATGTATGGACCAGAGAATGACCCTGGGTGTCATTACTTAGGAGCCATCCATTCTGTATTCTGAGTCTCCGTGACCTGGCTTTAGCAGTTCTGTCTGGCCAGTGAGCCCCAGGGGTTCTGCCTGTCCCTGCGTCCCCAGCTCTGGGGTTACAAGTGCATGCTACCATGCCTGTTTGTTTGTTTTTTTTTAACTTAGGTTTCAAGGCTCCAACTCAGGCCCTCAGCCAAATTTTTAAAGAAATCTCAGCTTTTGAATGAGGACTCTGGTCAGGGAGGAGACCCTTGTCTGAGTTTTCTTTCCTCTCCTTCTTGCTCTCACCACCACAGCTAATACCTAACAGGTTTCTAGTAAATTAATATGGATCAAAGAATTAATTAGTGGAATTAACTGCTGAGCTTCCTGTTTTCTCTGCCAGTTTCTCTGTTCCATTTCAGTGGGGAGGAGGTGCTGAGCTTGCCCATCAGATGGGCAACGTTGACTAGATTCCACTGGAGATAGCAGTGTTACCCGAGTTAGGGTCAGAGTCTGGGCTCTAGCTGCCCTAAGAAGCTGGACGCAGTCACATGTCCAAAATAGCTAATTAAAAAACAAGCAATGGTGAAAAGCAGAAAAAGGAGATTAATTCAATATAGCCATGTTTAAAAAGGAGCAAAGGGATCTAGTGAGTCCCCAGGTCCATCTTTGGGGTCCTGGCATAAGATTTAGTCTTAGTAATGCATGTCTATAATCTCAGGGCTCAGGGAGGCAGAGGCAGGCAGATCTCTGTGAGTTCAAGGCCAGCCTAGTCTACAAAGTGAGCCCAGGACAGTCAGGGCTACACAGAGAAACCCTGTCTCAAAAACAAACAAACAAACAAACAAACAAACAAACAAACAAAAAACCAACATTTATTCTTAAATAGAAGGCAAGAGGTATGTATAACTAAGCAGTCTTGGTCAAGGTGTGGTCCTGACCATCACTGACCCATCATTGTCTCAGGTCCAGACTTTCTGACAAGTTGACAGCGTACATGAAATCTTCGTCCCCTTTGACTGGCACCAGCGTTCTGCATTTTCCCTATTTGAGCATGGGGTTCTTGGGGAGATTCCAACTTCTTGAGGACTGCTTTCTGTAGCCCGATAAGTTATGGGAGGAGGGCAAGAGTCTCTTTGCAATGTTTTTACCATCAGGGTGGCTATGGACGGAGGCGGAAGTGTTGCAGACCTCCTGACTCTCATTTTGGCTGACACATGAATAGAGATTTTTTTCTTTTTAAGATAGAGGTGTCCTTCTCTTGTCAGACAAGGACAAGCAGAATAGACAGTGTAGAGGCAGCTGTGTAACCAGACACACTTGTGGTCTGCCCACAGGTTGACCAGCCAGCACTGGTCCTGTCCCCTGGCTCTGGCTCCCTTTCCTCACCTCCTCCTCCTCCTCTCTGTCCCTTTGGAACAGTGGTTCTCAGGTTACCAGCCCAGGGAGGGCTGCAAGTTCAGGTTCGTAAAACTTTCTGGATTCTGTCACCCCTATGCCTGCTTCCTGATGTTATGCCCTTACTTGGAATTTACTCCCACAGTCCTTTCTTGGGTTTCAGACCATCCTCAGCAACCTCGGTGGTGGCTACCGTTAATTTTCAGAATCTTTTTGAAAAGTGCTTTGGGCATGATTGTATTCATACAGTTCAAAAGTGCTATAGCTAGGGCTGGGGCTTAGGTTTAGGGCTGGGCTCAGTGGTAAAGTGTAGCCACGTAAGTGCGTGGAGCTGAGTTTGGTCCCCAGTGCCCGTGAGAATAGCTGGGCATGGTGGTAGGTATTTGCAATTACAGTACTGGGAAGGCAGAGCCAGAGGATCCTTGCAGCTTCATGGTCAGCTATCCCAGTTAAATCGGTGAGCCACAGGTCCTAGTGAGAGAGAGACCTTGTTCCAAAAACAAGATGGATGGCTTCCAGGGAACACCTGTGGTTGACCTCGGGTCTCTACATTTTAATAGACATACAGGAGCATATCCCTTCATGTGTGTATGTGTGTGTGCCTGCCTTATAAAAATGTATAAGGTGGAGAATCTCTACTGTACCCCAAAAGCCTAGTTTTCATTTACTCCTTTTTAAAGGCAGAAGTTATCTTAACAGTATCTCATGCTACAGTAGTCTTCTAGCATGTCTTTCTGCATATGTAGGAACATGCACAGAAATGCATATTTCTGGTGCCATGGGGCTCCGTAATCTCCAATCATAGCTTCAATGTTCTTCAGTCTCTACCTTGGGAAGGAGAGGTGAAACCTCAGCCTTGTGTTTTTCTGTGTTATTTCGAAAGTGTTCCATGAGTCTAAAAAGCAAGGTGCCTCAAGAATTCACAGGAGCTGCAATCATGTGAGCAAGACTTACATTAGTTCAAGCCAGTCAAAATTCCAGCATGGATGGGGATGGGCTCACAAGCCCTGCTCTTCACCCATCCCACATGAGAGGAGCTGTGACAGTTGGTGACAGGTAGAGGAGAGAGTCATCTTTCTTTGGGGTGTGGCCACTCGTAATGTGGGTCTTCTCGGCTCCTCTAAGACTTTCTGGAAATACCCAGAGGTGTGTTTCTGTGGTGATTCGAAATCCCATAAAGTTGACCATGAAGGTTAGCAATTCCAGAGCATGTCACTTGATTTCAGTATTATGTTAGTCTCTCAGCATCATGCAACATGGGCTGTCTGAAAGGACTTGGCTCTAATATGTCTTCACAACCTTGGCTTCTTTACCCATAGTCTTGAGCCTAGCCACAAAGACTGTCAGGAGGCATTTTTGCTTCTTGGTCAGAGGCAGACTCCTTGTCTCATTCTGCTTCAAAACGTCCATGCTGGCTGCTCAGCTCAGTTCTGTCTTCTCTCCCAAGACATGGCCTCTCTCAAGACATTCTCTCCCAAGACTTTGCCTAAAAAAATTATTTATTTATTTTTGTTTCATATGTATGAATGTTTGCCTGTCAGTGTGTATATGTACCACATGTATGCTTGGTAACCATGGAGATCAGAAGAAGGCACAGGATCCTCTGGAATTGGAGTTACAGATAGCTATACATTTATAGTGTAAGTGGGAGAGTTTTTCCTGTGGTTAGGTGGCCTAGACAGGCATTTGCTCCCTTCTTTGAACCTCAGCTGCAGCATCTCTTAAGACAGGAGTAACATAATAACAGATTTATGAACCTCCACGTGGCTGCTGGGAACAGAACCTTTGCAAGAGCAGCCAGAGCTCTTAACGGCTGCGCCGTCTCTTCAGCCCTAGCCCAATAGCTTTTGATCCGTTTCCATCTCCCATTAGACCTGCCCACATTCTTGGAGAACCCCTGGGGTGCATTGCTGGGGTGGCTCCTAGTTTGCCCGCCATTAAGTTGAACTTCAAAATGCTTCATTTACCACCTGACATATTTTCTGCTGTGGGAAAAGGATTGTATTTTTCATGTGGTTTCATCTTTCCAGGCTTTTCTGGAAACTTCAAACCTGAGTGTTTATCTCTTGTTCTGTCCCCAAATTCTTGTTCCTGTTTTAGGCACATAATGACATTCTGCTGTACCCGCCTTTTTATTCATCAGCGACATGTGTGAGCGTGTTTTGAGGGAAATTAATACCCAGCAAGACTGTCAGAAATGTGAGCATTTGCTCCTTAATAACCATAGCAGGTGGGAGAGGCAGTGAGAACGTTTAAGTCAGGGAGATTTTGTTCCCTAGAGAACTCAGTGGATTCAGGAGCCAGTTTTTCTTGTTTTTAGCTTCTTCTCACCTTGTCTGGCTCAAATTCAAGATGGATCAGTAAGTAGGGATGGGCTCATTATTTGTTACAGGGGGAGGAAATCTGGTGTCCAGATCTCTGTTTATTTAGATTTTTAGCACTTAGGATGCCTTGCTATTGCCTACCGAATGTTTTATTATTTTTATGTAGTTAGTGTGTTTATGCTATTTATCTACTCTCTTCACCCTAGTGTAGAAACTCTTATGAGGGCAGAGACCTTGTGTGTCTTCTTCACCATGCTGGACCTGGAGCCAGAACAATGTGTGGGGACATACAGGGCCGCTCAGTAAATAAATGTGTTAGGTGACCAGAAAGCCAGTTCTCACTGTGTATCCCTTTTGCCCCAGTACATTCAGGGTGAGGTGAGACCACCCCCAACATATCACTAATTTCAAGTGAGTTTCAAGTCTGGGAGACTCTGATGGACTTAGAAGAGGAGAGGTGGAGTTATAAGAAAAGTAGTTAGGTTTGCAGAAGGTCCACATTTGAACCCTGGCTCTTGGATTAAAGTGTAAGGTGGGGGTGGGCACCTACGTCTCTACAGTAGTTGTAACAGCGCTGCCACCCTGCATATGCTTTAAACCTTGGGTTGGGAATGTATGAAAAGTGTGTTTTAGACAATAAAACGCTTATTGGAATAAGTGCTGTGGTTGCATTGGGGCTGGAGGGCTCTACCAGGAGTGAGGAGTCTAGATTCCACCCCTGTACCGCTGCTAAACACATTGCCGTCCATGATGAGCCCTGTGCCATCCATCATCCTTTGGAGCGGGTCTTCAGCAGCTGTGTTCACACCAACAGCTGCCTGACTGTTTCCGTGTGTCTCTCTCTCCCCAGGAGGCTGCTGAAGAGTGAACTTGGATCATTCATTACAGACTATTTCCAGGTAAGCTCAGAGGGTCCCAGCACCCATTTACACATGCCGTTGACACACCAACGGGGGGCGTCAGTATTGCATACCTGTGTGTTCCTTCAGTGCCTACAGTTACATTTGCTGCAGTGCCTGTAAGGGGCTGCTGGGCCAGCCTGGTCCCTGACATTAGTGGAGATCAGTCAGATCCCTTGCAGTGAGTCGCAGGCTTTTGTGTCTCGGGACTCATTTATATTGTTAAAAAATTGTTGCTTATTTGGGTTCCATCTGTCTGTCCTTACCATAGGAGAAACTGTGCCTCTGAGGCTTTAAAATATGTCGTAATTAACTTGCAGAAGAATAGGTGGCACTTCTATGAGGAAAAGAAAAAAGTGTCCAGGATAAAGCAGAGGGAGGAAGAGCGGCATGGGTGGCGGTGTGCGAATGTGTGCAGGGCATGCTTTCTCGAGGGCAGTCTTCTCTCCTCTCTGCTTCTTCTGTGGGTTGTGTATCACATGTCACGCAGTCTCTGCATAGCTGCGCTGTCCAGCTCCGGGGCACAGGCGGGAAGAGAGAATCCGCCTACTGTTGCTGACAACATACTTTCACCCAGAGGAACCTGACTCCCACCACTGCCCTAAACTCCTCCTGTCCTGTGTGTTTTGCTCAGTTGGGTTAGGTGTATGTGCCCTTTGGGCAGATTATTTTTTGTCACTCAGCCTCCTGGTATGTTCTGTTGACAGCAGGATTAGATACGACAGTCAGACTTCCCTTCTGCCTATACAGTGTTATGGGGCCAAAAATGTCAAGGTACCAGGTTTCTGTCTTTCTCTGCAAAGGACAGTTTCTAAGTCATAGACATAAGTTGCTCCCTTAACTCTGACCAGAGGTGTTCAGGGGCTGCTGGGGTGAGAGCTATATGATGCATCCATGAAGTCAGCCCCTACTTCTCACTCATTTGCTAGGTGGGTTGAGGCGAGCTGCTTCATTTCTGTCTGCCTCACTTTCCTCATTTGTAAGATAAGAACAAAAATATAGTTCACCCCATGTGTGGTTTGCATGAAATAACAGCGGTGGAGAACTCAGTGCCAGCTGTAGCAGGCCACATGGCTTGGCAGTCAACATGACGGACCACTGAGGCAGGCTCCCAGGTTCAGGGCCCAGCACACTATTTACTGAGTGTGTTACCATGAGCAAGTTGCTGTTTCTCCCTGTTTCAGTTTTCTTTTCTACAAAACCATGAGCTAACCTTTAGGACCTACCTGAGTAAGATTACTGTAGGGACTAAATAAATTGTTATTTACAAAGCCCTTACTGGCCAGCACAAAATAAGAGAGTAATAGCTTTTGTTAAATATATGCTTACTTATTATTCTGAGTCACAGCCCATCCATTGGAATGAGAAAGGGACTGTGAATACATATATAATCTTGGTTGCAGTTTGTTGTTATTTTGTGTCCAAGTAGAGCAAAGTTTTAACACTGTATGGAGGGATTTTTGCTGTTAGAGACCCAAATGTCATTTTGTTTTTTTTTTTTTTTTGACTCAAGTGTTAGGAAATGTCAACTCTTATAGAGTGACACAAGCACAAATGCATATACACATGTGTTTGTGATGTGCAAACACACGCGTACACTTGCACACACGTGCCAGAAAACAGGCACTCTAAATCTGGACAGAGTAAGATCCGGAGGAAGGCTGGAATTAAGTCAGGTCATCCTCAGCTGCCTGGATGCTGGCATCTCTAAAGGGGGTCAGGAGGGGAGACTGAAGACTCAGACTGAGAAAGTGAGTCCCCACTGTGCATCATTTCATTTGCCCTTCACTCAAAGGTCAGCCTCTACCTCACTCTGCCCCGCTGTGGTCTCTATTGATTGATTTGAAGCAAGGCTGCTGAGAAGCCTGCTGGCCTGGGCTGCCTTCTGCCTTGACATTTCAGAGAGATGGGGGTTTGTGTGGTTTCAGTCAAGTTTTAAATGTCAGCTGTCTTGGCGTTGGGGGCTACCCCCAGGAAGGGTGTGTCTGGTGGGGACGTGTGCCTATGGGAAGCCCTGAGGTTTTTTGAGGGCGGCTAATACTGCTTACAAAGATGCCAGATACTTCAAAACTAATAACCACATGTCATTTCCTAACAGGAACCTAGCCAGAGAAGGTGCTTGGTGAGGCTTTTTTCTTGGGGTGTGGTGTGGGGACTAATTATCAGATCTTTGAATCTAGGGTTTTCCTTATTTACTGTGCTAAACTGGAAAAGGGCTCTCCTAGACACTCTTCTTTTTTTTATTATTATTTTTTAAATTTTTTTCTTCACAGTTTATTCATTATATATCCCAATTGAAGCCCCCTCCCTCAATTCCCCCAGTCCCACCTTTCCCCCCTCTTCCCTCCATCCCCTTCCCTTAGTCCACTGAAAAGGGGAGTTCTCCACTATTGCCATCTGCTCATATCTTGATAAGTCTCATCCGGACTGCTGAGATCCTCTTCCTGTGTGGCCTGGCAAGGCTGCATCATCACGGGCAGTCAACTGAGTTCATGATGGAGGCAGGCCTTGTTCCCCTCACTCAGAGATCCACATGGAGACTGAACTACCAGTCGGACATATCTGAGCAAGGGGTCTAGGTCCTTTCCATGCATGGTCCTCCATGGGTGCATCAGTTTCTGCAGGACCTCCTGGGCTCAGAATTTTGGTTTTGTTGGTCTCTTTGTGGTGCTCCTGCTAGACACTCTTCTAATGTAGATTTTAAGTTTTTGTTTTTTTGAAGCTGCGGGTGTATAGCTCCAACTCCAGGGGTTGTTTCTAAGCATTTACTTTTTCCCCCGTTCTGTCAATGTTTTAGGGAGAGCAGGAGGGATTTTCTGCCATACAGGCCAGAAATGACATGTAGGGACCTAAACAATGGCAATGAATAATATCAGAGATCAGGCTTAGAATGTGCTTCCCTTTTATTTTATTTTTTTAAGATTTATTTGTTTATCCATACGAGCACTCTATTTACATGGATGCCTGGATGACAGAAGAGAGCATCAGATCCCATTATAGATATAGGTGGTTGTTAGCCACTGTGTGGTTGCTGGAAATTGAACTCAGGACCTCTGGAAGAGCTGAGCCATCTCTCCATCTCACTTCTCTTTTAAAATGTTTGTTTTAGCCCTTACATTCATGCCAGAGAAAGTCTGTGTGGTCTTCTGGGACTTAGCAGCCTCTTTATTAAAGGAAGCCGGAGCTGGCCATGAACTTGGCAACTTTAGCTAGGGATACTTGACTGGCTAAGGTTTGTGTCTTTGCTTTGTTTGCTGTGAGTTAATTTCTGAGTGATCTTCCACTTGTTGTAAGTGGTGCTGCTACCAGTTCCTTTTAACACACAGTGACAATTTTGACAAGCAGCTTGAAGAACAACAAAATGGCACATAAAGGATGACAATGCAGGTGGCTCTGGCTGTGGGGTCGGGGAGGGACATGGTGAAGATGGTTCAGGAGACATTCAGGTGGGAAGCCTGGGTCCGGGCGCCACTGAGGAGGTTTCCAAAGCTGCACAAGAAATCTCCACCCAGGAGAGAGTCAGGCTCAGCTTCACAGCAGTACAGGGACAAAACCCTAAGAGGCTCCAACAGAGAAGGACCTAGAGAAAAGTGTGGGTGCCTGTGGGAAGCAGAGGGAGGCCTAGCACTATCAGGAAAGTCCCTAAACCTTGTTTGCTCAGAAGACTGTAAACAAGCTCCCTGGGCCCTGGGCTCCTTGGGGTGAGGCTTAGACCCTTTCCCCAGGCACCTGCATTGGGAATGAGGTCTGCCCCCTCTTCAAGCCCTCCTCCCAGTGAAGCTCATCATCTGCAGAGCCACAAAAAGAGCTCTTTGTATCTGCAGCTCTGCTTTCCCTGGTGCAAGTGAACATTTTTATTTTACAATTTTAAAGAAAGACTATCCACGGCGAGGAATAATGAAAACGACCTGAGGTGAGGGCAGGGGCAGCAGGTAGGAAAAAAAAGAGTGGTGCTTATCTCTCGTCTGCACACAGAGAAGACAGCTTGTTTGGTCTGCAGGAGCCTGAATAGATTTTTCTATGAGGCACTGGCCAGAGAAATTTCTGACATTTCCAGTATTGACTTCCCCACCCCACCCCCCACCTCTTTTCCTCCTGTCTGTTTTGAATTGTGCCTGGGAGGAAGATTGAGGTTTCAGAGTAGAACTCTATCCTAGTGACTGCTTGGAGGGATAATTGGTTCTCTGTCGTGCTTGAAAATGGATATTATAAAATGATCTCCATTTTTTGATTGCCTAGTAAGGTATCTCTGTGGTTCAAAGTATGGGGGTGCTGTGCAGGCTATCGAATTTCTTACTTTCTCAGTTCTGCATCTGTGGGTTGCTCTGTTTGCTAAAAACCTTGCCCCAAGCCCAGAAGATTTCATTTCTTTTGGTGGAATTCAGAGTTTCGCTTCATATAGAAACTGAGCTCAAGTCAGAGAGAGTTAGTGTTAGGGAAGAGAGAAACACGAACACTATCATTAGCAATAGGTCATGGATGCCTTTGTGTGTGTTTGATGAGTGTGTGTGGGCGTGTGTGTTGGTGTTGTAAGTAAGGTGTGGTGAGACAGTGCAACATAAAAGACCAGGCAGGGAGTCTGGGGCGACTGGGCACGCACATGGGCATATTAGTATACACACGTATGTGAATAGATAGGTGTGTGCATATATTTGTTTGTCTGATTGCTGCAAGAGCCACAGGAAAAGACTAATCATCGTAGTACTAGGGAAATGTGCACTTGGAAGTTGTTGAGAGAGGAGATCCATGGTGAGGGGGTCGTAGGCAGAGTGGAGTTTTAAAGCTTGAACAATGTAGGAATATAAGTGACTCAACGACCAACAGGACACATGGTAATATTGACTGGTGATGGGTATGGATGGCAGGGTCTTCAGATCAGGTCCAGAATTAATCAGTACTTAGGAAAATGGGACTTGTATGGGACAGATAAGACAGGGTCATGAGAATAACTCTTGGGATTTTCAAATCTAAACTGAATGGTGGAGAAAAGGTACTGCTCCCTTTTTTGATCTGTCTCAGAAGACGTCAATTAAAAAGCACAATTCCCCAGAAGGAGACAGAGAGTATGAGGTAAACAGCTGGGAGGAAGGGGAATTCCATGAATACTCTCTGTAGGCTAGGGATGGGGCCAGTACACTGAGCAGCTTGACTGGGAGGCTGGGTGAGGATTATGTTTTTAGGTGAGAAGGTCATTAGCATTGAGGTTGAAATGGTATTTGGGACAAAGGCATGGTGAAGCCTGAACACCTGAGTGGACCAGAAGTTCCTGGTGGCCACTGTGACTTCTGAGGTGGAGCTATCTAAGTGAGGGTACAAAGAGTATGCTGCCAGCTAGGAATTATCTTTCCAAAGCTTTCTTGCCCCCAGGCTCTGGAGCAGTCACATGAATTCTGTGCAATTGTCTGAATGTTTTTATTGTGTTTTTCTCATACTTTATGAAACTAGTGGAAAAATAAGTCTTGAAATTGATAAACTTCAGCCTTAATGGTTTTTAGATAAAGATGGAAATCAATGAGGTAATGGATCATTGGCTTCATTGGGTTTGGGTTTAATTGTGAGGGAAAAATGCATATGGGTACAGAATGCTGAAAATATATCATCTGAAGATGAGCTCTAGAAAGGAGGTGTGGTGGAGGCTTTTATCTATCACCCTTCTTGGCTCTATGGGAGCAGGATTCTTTTGATGCCATGCAGGCCTGTTCTGAGTGGGAACCCACTATGTGGGTTTCAGGAGCCCACTATGTGGGAAATTGAGCGATTGCTTACAGACAGGATAAGGACTGAGATGAGTCAGGATTAGTGGGGAGACGAATTGAAGGCCTAGCAAGCTTCTGTATGTGGGGTGTGACAGTGAGTAGACATAGCCAAATGTTCAGTGGTCATGGGAAACAAAGGTTGTTGCGAAGTTTTGTTTACTATGGAAAGCTTTCTCCGATGCCTCTTCTGAGAGTTCTGACGAAGGCTGGGTATGTAGCTCAGTTGGCAGAGGGCTTGGGAAGCATCCAGGAGGCTGTGTGTTCAATTCCTAACGTCACAGAAGCCAGGAATGGTACTTGCCGGGAATCTGTTTGGCATGGAGTTCTTTCTCCTGGGAAGGGGGAGTTAGCATTATTCCCCCCTAACCTTCTTAGTTACTTTTTTCCCCCTGAGTCCCTCTGACTGGGTTGGGAGGTACCCTGCTTGAAAGGTGACATACATGGTTGACAAGCTGTACCCCACACGCCTAACCTCTTCTCTGCTCATCGTAGTACCTCCATCCTGCCCCATGCTGCCCAGGATAAGCTGATTTTTTTCCCCCTCTCTTTCAAAGGCCTGTGGCTTGGAATGCTTTCCTTCAAACATCCTTGTCGGAGTTTTTCCCAAGCTTCATTTTTCTGTTTGCAGCCCATTTCTCTGTGTCTTAGGGGAAAAAAAATGTCAGCTCTTTCCACTTCCGGACCCTTCTGCCACTTCATTAATGTGCTATTTTGTCCGTGGTCAAGTTCACTGATGGTGTGCCAGAAGGATGTGTTAAGTAACAACCGGCCCTTTGCCAAGTCCTAAGTCATTTCCCAAGGAGCTACTATTTAATGAACTGGTGGTTTGTGATTTGAAGCTGGCGGGGGAGGTGATAGAGAGAGCCATTGGTCTTGGAAGAGTCAGGAGAAAAAGTCTCTGTGACCACTGCCTAGCAGCAAATGTCTGCTCAGAAGTTTTGGATTCAGGCACTTGGCAGGGATAGGAATTCTTTGTGCTTAGGTTCAGGAAGAACAGATGCTTAGAAAAATAATACAGACTACCTGAGTTAAAGCTTACCTCTCTCCCTCATTTCCCCCCACCCCTTCTTTTTTTCTTCTCTTCCTCGCTTCCTCTTTCTTCCTTAGTCTCCCTTCCTTGGTTTTGGTCTCTCAACCATTGAGCAGACCTAAGTACCATAGATAATCAGACCTTTCTTAGACAAAGTAGATGGCAGTGATGTGGGCTTCATAACCTGCAGAGCCCAGTGCTAAGTGAAAATATGGCTACCGTAGGGTTTTGGAATTCCATCTCTTTCCCATGGATCTGTCACTGCTACATACAGAAGTCAGGTAGCACCTAAGAGCTCCTTTCAATCTCTACACTGTGCCACACAGATCACAGGGTAGGGAAGGGATAAGACCCACCCAGTTATTAGCAAACATGTCACAGCACTGCGAGACCCTAGTGAAGATGGCTGTCACCACGCTTCTGTTCAAGAATTATTAGGCACATGTCCAACCTTGACCTCTATACACCATACCTAAACCTATACCTCCACTAACTCCGCCCCATTACTACCTTAGGAGTACGATGACAGCAATGGTATATAGGTCAGAGAGGGGAAGTGTGGGTGTGGCCTGGACACTGGGGTACGAAGGCCTGCGAACTCTTTCTGGGAGGTGGTATCTCCAGACTCCCTGGCCTTTTATGTTGCAATGTTCCACTACACACTTTACTTACAACACACACATGCACACGCGCACACACACACACACACACACACACACACACACGGACACACACACGGACACACACACACACACACGGACACACACACACACGGACACACAGACACACACTCTCAGAGAACTTAGAGACGGCACCTGCAGAGCATTCAATTCTAATTGCTGCCCCCTTCAAATGCTAGGCCTTAAGAGCTGCAGGATCTCCAGGAGTGCAGGCGCCTGTATGACTGCAGATTCGCTGGAGAAAAGACCTTTTCTTGATCAGTGGTGCCCTGGGATGGGGAGTGGGGACAAGAGCAGCCCTGGCAGCTGAGCAGAGAATACGGCTGTGGTCAAGTTGCTGGTGTGTGAATGAGAAGGAAGTCAAGGTAGCAGATCTCCAGGGAAGGGACGCTGGGTGCTGGGCTGCCCCTGAGAATCTTGGAGAGATCAGCAGGCACAGAGTGGAGGATTTCTAGTGGAATCTGAGCTGCATTCCTGTGGGTTGGAATCTGGGGAAGGAAACTCTAACCGAACCTCAGTTACTGGAAGATCAAAGCATTAGTGGCGTGCTTTTCAAGGGGTTTTAGCTTCTTGGAAAATGGAGCCCCTTAAATATCAGCAAATTGGTATGTGAGCAGGCTATGGTGACCACAGGCTCCAAGTGGGGAAAAGGACTAGATGACCAGAAAGACTCCTTCAGACCCCATGTTTCTGTTTATTTTGATCTAAGCTACAGAATTTCCGTGTTGTGTATCATGAGAGCCTTAGAAAGAATGTTTTCTGTGTCATTTCCCTCCTAATCCAGAAATAACTCCTTTTCCTTGGAAACACATATTTTTCCTTCTAATATCTCCTTGAAGGGAGAAGACTTAAGGGCCAGGAAGGAGGTTCTGGGTCATTTGTTGGAATTTATTCCTTCTGATTTAGACAAAGGAATTTTTACCAAATGAAGAAAATGGCAACAGCTTTAGGTACCCTATGTCACCTCTGCCATCCCCTTAAAAAAGAAAACCATTCTGTCTCTTATCTAGACTCCTTAAAAATACAAAATAATTCTTGTCACCAAAATAGGCAGTTGATTAAGTTTAACAAAGATCGCGCAGGAGAGGGGTATTAACGTAAGAGGTGGTTCCTGTCCTCAAGGACCTGTGTGTGTGTGTGTGTGTGTGTGTGTGTGTGTGTGTGTGTATTACTATGTGTAATATAAGAGTGTTCATGGATGTGTGTGTTCACGTGCCTGTGTGCATGTGGAAACCAGAAGCAGGATGTCAGATGTCCTGTCTCTCACTGTCCATTGTAATACTGGTGGCTGAATCTCTCACTGAACTTGGAGCTAGGCTGGCAGACTGGAGACCTCAGGGGAAGCCTCATGCTCCAACCCCCCTAGAGCGCTGGAGTCATAAGTATTTACTGCCACACTCCTGGCACATGAGTGCTGGGGATTTAAACTTAGGTCCTCATGTCTGTCGGGCAAGTACTTACCTACTGAGATATGCCCCTAGCCCTGGCACTATTTATTAATTCATGTTATAACCTGGACTGATTTTTTCTTTAATTTCTTTTAGCACCCTAGTTTGCCACTGCATTCCTTAGTATAGATAATGAGAATGAAGGGACAAGATGGTATCACCTCCTCCTGGAATATGTGCCTTGGAAATGTGATAAAGGAGAGAGAGCTTGCAGATTTGTTTTGGGAGAAGGCTGGAGTAGCAGTGTTGATACCAGACATTCAGGAGTCTGGAACAGTGCAGAGGTGACCTTTCTGAGAACCTCACCTGGACTGACTCAAAGTTCTGGGGCAGATATTCTAAAGCAGTGGCTCTCAGCCTATGAGCCACAGCCCCTTTGGGGCTCCCATATCAGATACCCTGCATATCAGATATTTACATTATGATTCAGAACAGGAGCAAAATTACAGTTAGAAAGTAGCAGTGAAATGATTTTATGGTTAGGGATCACCACCATGTGAGCACTGCAGCGTTAGGAAGGTTTCGAGCCGCTGCTCTAAGGTCTAAGTGGGATTTGTGCTCGGGTGGAGTGACTACTGTCCTTTCTGTCATCTGGGCAACCTTTCACATACATCTTGGCTGCCAGGAGGTCCTGATCAGCTGACATTGGGCTGTGTTTCTTGCTTTCTGACCCAGAGGCAGGATGCATGTGCTAGGCAGAGGAAGGAAGGTTACAAGTTTGAGGCCAGCCTGAGCTACAAGGATAATGGCTCAACAGTGAATTGGGCTGGGCCCTTTCTGTATCTCTTAGTTTGAGAGGTGGGGTGGTGACTGCTTTTGGCTTTTGGCTTACTGCCTTTGGTTGGTGTGGTGTCTCATAGTCTTCCTCTGAGGTCTTGCCTTCCAGGAGGACAAAGGGCTGCTTAAACTTAGAGGTCTGACTAGCACAAGGGGCCTGGGAAGTCTGTGCTGCACACTCCCCATCAGCATCACCCAGCTCTTGTGCTCTTTGTTCTCTTTTGGCAGAACCAGCTTCTTGCAAAAGGACTGTCCTTTGTGGAGGAGAAGATCAAGCTGTGTGAAGGCAAGTAGGAGGCCCTGGTGCACGGGGCTGTGACTCAGCCTCTGATGTTTGCACAGCTGAGACGCTTCTGTCTAAAAGCAGCAGACTCCCAGGGAGTGAGTCAGCCCTGCTTCTTGCTGCATTCAGTGGTTTGAACCAGCTGCCCCTGTCCATGCAACACAGACTGTCTTTGCAAAAAAAAAAAAAATTAATTAATTAATTGAGATAGGGTGATTTATTGGAGACCCAGGTAAGGGGTTTCCATGGATGTGTCCTTTGAATGGACAGAGGCGTTTGCTTTACTGTAGATGCTGCCGGTCGATCTGGGTTATTCTGGCCTGTTCTCCATTCACCCACCTTGCCATAGTTCTTGGAATCATACTAGATAGAAGTGCGGCCCATTTGGGGGACATTAGGACAAGCAGGCTCCCGCCCAGTGAGATGTGGTCTGACAGATGAAGAAAAAGTTCCTGGCCTGTCTGTGGTTTTAGAATCTAAGGGACAGATGGAGAAGGGAGGTAGTTTCAAAGGATAGAAATGATCACCTCTTCCATTCCACCAAGGGTTTTAGGGACTTGGCTTAGCTTGTTCCCTCATTCTCTAGTGAATCTTGGAAAGTTTCTCCATCTCTCTCTCTCTTTCTCTCTCTCCCTCCTCTCTCTTTCTTTCTCCCTCTCTCTTTGGTCCCTTCCTCCGCCTCTCTCCTTTTGTATCCTAGGCTGGCCTTAAATTTACTATGTAGTGGAAAATGACCTAGAACTTCTGATTGATCCTCCTGCCTCCACCTCCCAGGTTCTGGGATTACAGGCATGTACCGCTGTACCTAGTTTATGCTGTGCTAGAGAGTAAGCCCATGGCTTTGTGCATGCCAGGCAAGTGTGCCAGCAATTGAGCTACACCGTCAGCTCAGAGTCTCATTTGGAAGTGATGAAATGGGGTGGGGGCTTGTGCTGAATATAAGAGAAATATAATACCATACATAACACCATACTCCGCACACATACAGTGACCTTTTCTTTGTCATCTAGCTTTATGTTCTCAGTATAGGCCAGATGGACATCTAGACACAGACTTCACAGGGCTGTGTCTAGTCATATACTGGAGTATGTGGCTTCAAAAACACATGCTGACATACGACAACATGATTGAATATTGAGGGGATAGGTCCAAGACATTTTCCCCCTATTTTCTGAGAAAGACATGTCCAGTAATGTTGTTCCTACTAAGACAAAATTGGAAGGAAAATGAGAAACAGATGCTAGAAAGTTCTGGTGCTTGCTTCGAAGTAAATGTCCCCCCAAACCTTTGGGGAAAACCAAAGGTTGAAATGCACACACACACACACCCCCACACACTTTTTTCCCTTTGGAATGTGGCTTGTTTCTCTTAAGTCTGTAAAAACCTATTAAATCAAGGCTTTAAATTCTTTGAAGTTGGAGCTGGAGAGATGGTTCATCGATTGAGAGGGCTTGCTGCTCTTGCAGAGGACCTAGGTTCGATTCCTAATATCCACATCAGAAGGTTGCTCACTATCGCCTGTAACTGTAACTGCAGCTCTAGGGATCTGACTCCTTCTGACTTCCTTGGGCACCTGAAGGCATGTATGCATGTGGTTCACAAACATACAACACACACACACACACACACACACACACTAAACATAAAGAAATCGTTTGAAATGTGATTAAACACATGATGTTAGGTCTCTGCCTGCCACTACCTCACAGTCCTAGCACTGACTTTTCTCATCTCTGTGTAGTGGCCTCCAGTTCTTCACCTTGAAACTGGAAACTCTAAACTCATGTTTTCACAACTACCGTTCACACCTTGCTTCCAGGGCTTTGACTAAGAGGATTCGTACAGTAATTGTGCTTTTGTAGTGGCTTCTTTCACTGGACTTAATGCCCTCCCAGTCCATAAACGTTGACACATGTCAGAAGACACCATGTTTTTGAAATCATATACTCCAGTGTACAACTAAATAACCTTTTTTTTTTTTTTTTCCGCCCATTCATCCATCAGTGGTGACTTGTTTTGACCAGGAAGTTTGGTTCTTTGTATCTGGCCATTACTTAGTACAGGTCCTCTGGCACCATGCCTGCTCACACTTGGGTTTGTTACTGTGTTAGCTGTACTTAATGACAGCTGCTGGGCAGGAGACACCATGCTCTTTTAAGTCTTTTTCTACAGTTGCACTGACCTTCCTTTTCAGGAGGGTTTTCTTCGTAGTAACCCAAGTGCTGCTGACAGTCTAAAGCCTATGGTGTATCAGAGAAAAGATTTGATGGCAGACATCTAGAACCTTCCTTTTAAACCTCCTTCACCTTGGCAGGGAGCTGACTCTTGACTTGCAGGCTATTCCTGGAAGTGAAGCTACCCATTTCCTTTACCTCTTTTTTTTTTTTTTTTTGTTTCTGTGTCCCACAGAACACTTTCTGAAACCTTCTTTCCTCCCTGACCTTTGCAGCTATCAGTTAGATCTAACCTCCTGGAAGGTACCTTCCAGCTCTGGGTGGAAGAACTCCTTTATGCCCTCACAAGGCCTCCAATCCTAGCATGGAAGCAAGTCTAGCACTGCCCTGCAGACTTCCTCCTGCCCTTCACTGTAGAATGCTTCAGATAAAAGCTATCAACAGGGAAGCTACTGTAGCTTGTACCCCTCTTTGGGTTCAGTTTGGATTTAGGAAACCCAATGACCCTTTGATTTTTCCACCATCATTCCTACAGTGAATGAGTGTTGCTTACATCTAAAAGATGGTTTTGTGTGGCTGATCACCAGTAATTGGACACCAGGACCTTCGTTAAGTTCTGGGGCTGCTAAACTGGAAACAGGAACAGATATGAATCAGATCATATATTAATATGTCAGTCATGTGTGAGTGTGCTAGAGGTTGGGGTGAGCGTAACCGAGACTAGTACTATGTAACTTTTGGCTACTTTATTGGGTTCTTTTATCTACCACCCTTCCCCAGCCTTCCAACCCCCCGAACACTAGATAGGAGAGAAAGAAGGTTAGAGGGGAAAGGAGCCACTGATACAGTTAGACTACTTCCTGCTGATGAGGAACTTCGAGTTCCCTGTGGCAGGGTTGATCTTCACCATCAGAATATTAAATTTCTTCTGCTTGTCTCTCTGTGCATGACCGTTTGATGAACTGTAACCAGCAACAGTGTCAGCCCCTCTCAGGGCTCTAGCATCTATATACTGTCTCAAGAGTCCCTAGAATTCCAAACGTCATACACTTACAGAAACAGCGTGCAGCTGGAAAAAATCACACAGCACAGCACAAGGCAAAATTTTCCGTAAGATCTCTTGTGTTTTTAAAGAAACCAAAATTCTCACTGCGGAGAGGGGCAGATTGATACACCGGAGAAAGGTTCCTGTAAGAATAAATAAAGTCTGAACAGGCAAGTTAGGCAAAGAGGAAGGGAAAGAGCAGTCTGGGCAGAGGAGGAATTACTATATGCAAAGACTCTGTGGTGTGAGGGAGCTTGGTAAGGATGAGGAGCTGAGATCAAGCCTGCATAACCACAGGTCAAAGACTGGGGGAAATGGACCTGAAGATGATGACATAGAGAAGACAGATCCTCTCGGCTGTGTAGTCCACATCGGAGAAGTGTCCTTTCTTCTAGGAGAAAACAGAACATGGTCCTACCAGCTAGAAAGTTTTGCTCTGCAATGTCACCTCACTGGGTCAGATTGTGCCCCCTGCCCTCGAGAGACCTGGCATCTGCAACAACCTACAAGTTTGGCACATTCCATCTTTTCTCCATGAAGGCTTTTGCAAAGCAGTTTGTTGATGTGCCTAGCTTGGTGCTGTGCACACAAAGTGTAAGAGGGACAAACGTGTCCCAGACTCTCCTGTTCTAGCAGAGGATTGTTCCAGCAATGTTTGATTAGCACTTTGCCAGGGAAAGCGGAGGATGACACTGGCCTGCATCCACCCTGACCTTCCAGAAGCTGTCAGCCACTAGCTCTGTCCTTGTTCTGTGCTTTCTCCCCAGCCACTGCTTTTATTGGCCATTAAGTTAATAGACGGAAGACACTAAATGAATCTATCAAGATTTGTTCCATGGAACTAATGGTGTCTTGCCAAACACGTCTCTTGGTGTCTCGCCTTGGCTGACCCAGTTTCTCTGCTCAGGATGAGCAGACAGTAGCCCATCAGCTCTGACATCTAGGTCATTAGGCAGCTGCCACCTCAACCAGGCTCTCTCCTCTCACATTCGTTCAGTGGCATGAGGTGACCTGAGTACTTTAGCCTGTGGGTGGCCTTTGACTTCCTTGTGCCAGGGTAAGCAGGTAGTCAGGAGGTGCCTCCCAGCTACAGAGGGTGAGGGTGATACCATAGATCTCCTTTCTGCTTCTCACCTGACAGCTGAAACTCAGAATCAGACCAGAGTATATAACTGCAAGAAAAGCAGTATATAACAACAGTGCAGACAGAGCAATGTATAACTGTGCAAACTGCAATCTTCCAAACAATCAGGTAAAGAAGATGGACTGTGTACCATTGGCCTAGTTACTTGGTGTCTCTGGGCCTGCGAGATGCAGTAATGGCCTGCTCACATCATGTTGATGAGTAGTCTAGCACAGTGTCAGAAGATGCTGCGTGCACTCACGGATAACATTTATCATGTGATCCTAAATCCCTCTTTTCTGAGTTTGGGCTAGAAAAGCACATTTGTGTGTTTTCGGTTGAGTCTTCCCATCTGAATATTTGCTATAACAGAATACTCGGGATCACTTTTATCAATAAGGGATAGACTTGGCTCATTGGTTTGGAGGCTCAAACTCTTTGGTGTGTCCTCATGGTAGGAGGACTACGGTAGGAGCCTCATGGTGGGTGACATTGTGGTGGTAGGCAAGTATGGAAGAGATCACGTGAGAAGAAGCCAGAGAGGAAGCCGGAAACCAGCTCATGTTTTAAAATATTTGTTGAAGGGACATTGCTCTGAAGCCTGACACTGCCTGCTCCAAGGGCGAGGTTCCCAGTGACCTCTGACTGGGCCACACCTTTTAAGGATTCTCTTCTTTCTCTTGTTGTTATGAGACAGGGTCTTGCTTACAGAGCACAGGCTAGCCTCAAATTCACTATACATAGTTCAGGCTGTCATCTAACTCATGATCCTTTTTCTTTAACCTTCCAAGTGCTGGGATTATAAGTGTGCAGCCCTACTCACTGCCTACCACACTGGGGCCAGGGCCTCTACCATGTGAACTCTGAGGATAAGTCACATCCTTAGTACCACCTCATGTTACACTGGCTGCTGTCACACTTTGTGGCTTAAACACCCCCTCACTCCCTGCAAATGCTATTCCTCGACTTGCTTACACTAGTGATACTGAATTTCAGTTGCTGTGTGTGATGGCTTTGGCCAGGGACAAAGACCCCGTGCGCTTGCCTGTACTCCCTGGGCATCAGCAGCTCATGCTACAAGTTCCCTACTGGGTGTGGCGTTACATTGGAGGAGGAGCTGTCCTGTGAGAGTAATGACATGTTCTCTTCTTTCTCCTGTCATCTCTCCCATGTGTAGGTGACAGTCGCATTGAGGTTCTGGCTGAAGTCTGGGACCACTTCTTCACCGAGACTCTCCCCACCCTGCAGGCAATATTTTATCCGGTTCAGGTCAGTGTCACTGAGATGCAACAGCCTTCTCCTCCACTGACCTGGGTGATTGGGCCTCTTGCTAAGAGGGGATCACTGTGTTACTGTGGAAGTGGGCAACCCATTAGAAGGGGCTCCAGGGGTCTTCTGAGTACTCTCTCGGTCTATATTTAGTCCCTAACGTCAAGAAGAGAGTCTTACATATAACTAGCAGTTTGTAGGTTTTTGTTACCCTTAAGGATTTGATGATATACATATGTGTGCGTGCATGTGTGTGTGTGTGCACGTATGTGTGTTTATGTGTGTATGTGTATATACACCCACAGCCAGCCAGGTGGCTTTCCTTTTCCCTCCTCTTTCTTTCTTACCCCACCTGTCCTTTCCAATGGCAATCTCTTTGAAGTGCCATTTTGAAATACTTTCTTAGTGCACATTGATCAGAAAGTCTTGGTTCTTTAAAACAGCTTCATGTGTATATCTAATGCACTTTCTCCATATTCACCCCCTTTACTCTCTGCTGATCCCTCCTTCCTCCCCCTGCTGGTCCCCTTGAAACACTTTAGAAGCAAGGTACTGTTGTCCTGAAGTCATGGGAAAGGATAATGTTCCTGGTTCTCTGTGATGGACTCTCACCCAAAGAGCTACATGCTGTAATAGTGCTGGGTAGGGAATGGGCAGGCCGGAGTTCTAGAGTGTGGACTTGTCAAGGGTATTTAACTTTGTGTACATCAGTCCCTGCAAAACATGGGATTTAGGGCTGGAGAGAGAGAGAGCACAGCAGTTAAGAGTTTGTACCAGTCTTGGAGAGGCCCTGGGTGCGATTCCCAACACCTGTGTTGGTTGGCTCACACCTGCCTGTATCTCCAGTTCCTGGGACTCCAGTGCTCTCTTCTGGACTCTGCGGTCCCCTGCACGCACGTGTACAAATCCACACAGAGATACAAGCATATATGTGTAATTTAAAGACACTAATAAACGTTTTTTCTAGAATGTGTGCTTTAGGGGAGCCTCTTTAACAACAAAGAGCTTGCAGTGGCAAGCCCGAGGCTCTGAATTCAGATCCTCATCACCCATTTAGAAATCGGGGCAGCAGCACATCCACCAGCACCAGTGTTCGGGGGAGACAGGCAGATCCCTGAAACTTGCTCGCCAGCCAGTCTAGTGTAATTGGTGAGCTATTCCTCTCCAAAATTGCTCTCACATACCTGCAACTTGCACACATTCCTCTCCTCTCCCTGGGGTTAAGGCTTTTGCCTTGTCTGGCTTGGTTGAAGCATGAGCGTAATAAGCAGACTGGAAACAGAGCCACCAGCAATGGTCGGAATTTCCTCATTCCAAAGGGAAGGCCCCAGGAGAATGTTTGCACTTACAGTGCTTTAAAGGCGTGTGGGGTTGCTTGCCCTCCATACCCCATATCTAAAATTTTACTTAGTGATGTCACTTCCCTTTGCAGACTTGCCTCTCACATCTGCTTTAACGCAGTGCACATAGAAGTCCAGATCCAGTCCATGCCTCTCATCTTCCTCAGGCTGAACCAGTGCTGATGGAGACTGCCGCATCTGCACCCACAGATACTCTGTGTCTTGCGGTTGTCACCCCTTAGCAAGCAGCAGGGTCTCAGAAAGACAGACGGTAGGGAAGGGTTCACTGATGTGGCAAATGAAAACACCAGGTGTTGCCTTCACTTTACGTTTTATATAAATGACAGTGTATTCTGATACATGTGCCTGTGAAAACAAAATTTAGCCAGCATCATGTGCTTGATAAACGTGATGTGCAGACCAGGGTCATTGATGTGCAGCAAATGCCAGGGCGTGGTGATGGGTATAGAATGCGGAGTGTGGGTCAAGGTGGGCAATGAGGGGCTGAGAGCCAGGCAAGAACATGGTCATACCGACCTAAGGATAGTTCTGTTTTGGTTCTCTTAAAAAATGGTCAGATCTGGCAGTAGTGTTATTGCTCATTTCACTTTTTCACCCTAGTGATAATGGGTCCCCACTTACCTGGCTCCTTTTTGCCCCTGTTGACCTTGAAGGCCATTTGCCTTTGCTGACCCATTTTATTTGCTAGCTGAGATTGAGTGGGAGAGGCCTGGATTCAGAACTTGGATGGAATAGTCAAGGGAAGTGAGGGAGAGCTGTAACAAATGGGCACCAAGGTAGATGGCACATAAAGTTGGCAGCCTGTACACTAGGTAACGTGGAAGTGATTTTTTTTTTCTTTTTTAAGGAGGTTACAAGGAGATAGACTTATTTTATTGTTGGATGAGTAGGTGTCCTGTCCCTGTTCCACTATGAAGTGAAGCCACAACAGAGTCTGAGGACAACCCAGGGCCTTGGTTAATGCCCATGAGTGGTAGTCCCAGGAAGCAGTTATTGGCTTGTTTCTGTTGGTATAAACTGGGCACCTCATCTCTCCCATCAAGTGCATTTTTCTGACAGCAGATTTTGGAATTGGACGAGGCCTTTGTGGCTGCTAAGGCCATGGATTTAAGCTCTGCATTTCAGCCTTGATTGAAAGTCCTTGATTGAGGACAGTTTTGATGTAAGCGGCATCTCACACTGCTAGTCTAGGCCTGCTTGGACTCACGTTTCAACATGGGAAGTGCCTGGCACTGACACTATAGCCCTCTGGTCACTTACTAAGCCGCTGATCTCTTTCCTGAGAATGTATGTTTACCCTTAGGTTTGGAAGGCCTGAAGGCTGAGTCTTTCATGTTTTCAAGGGGAGTGCTGTGACCCTCCTGCCTAGCCCACACTCAAGTGACTGCAGGTGTCTATGTGAAGAGGCACTGCTGAGAACATTCAGGAAAGGAAATGGGGTAGGAAGGGGTCGAGTGACAACAGCAAAGCAGGTTGATTTGGGGATTCAGTCAGAGAGATTGTCATAATTGTTTGGATCTGATTTTGTTCCGGCCAAGAATGTGGGTTTAGAATGGGATGCTCTAGAATGTCCACAGATAGGGGAGGTCCTCCTCCCCTTCCATCTGACCCTAGCCTATCAGGTCACATTAGGACTGGCTGCATTGTCCTCCTCTGTGGCCTGGCAAGGCTGCTCCCCCATGGGGGGGTGTCAAAGAGCCCACCAGTCAGTGCATTCTTTTAAGAGGGCAGCGTAGCAGTATCCATGAAGTATGTGTGTGCATGTGTGTGTGTGTGTGTGTGTGTGTGTGTGTGTGTGTGTGTGCGCGCGCCTATGAGCATATATGTAGATGCTCTATATCAGGTGCTCTTTTTGACTGTGTAGTTTTTGAGACAGGGTCTTACTGAACCTGTTAGCTCACTGACTTGACTAGACTAGGAAGCCCTAGGAATCTGCCCATCCAGTGCTGAGATTACAGATTCATCTGGTGTTAAAGTGTGGCTTTTTGGGCCTCAAACTCAGGACTTCATGCTTGTTAAGCATTCACTTTAAGGAGCCATCTCTCCATCCCTTTCCAAAGGCAAATGTTGCTGTGTAAGTTTTCTGTTTTGTTTTGTTTTGTTTTGAAGAGTGGTAGCGATCTGGATACACAAACAAAACTATCCAGAGAATCATAGATGAACATTTTTATTGTTGTAGTATAAAGGGGCATTTTAGTTGAAGAAATGGCAGTTAGAGTGTATTGAAACACAAATTGAAATAATAAGTGTCTTTAATATAGTATGGAACAGGGGAGAAGCCAGGTGTGTTGGTAATGCAAAGATGTCCAGGTTACACTAAGCTAAATAAAAGCATGAAGGGTGTGGTCTCTATGTGTGTGTAAAGGTTCTGTGTGTAATTTTACAGAGTTAGGAACTTTCTGGAAAAAAATTCAGAGGATAACTACAAGTCTTTGAAGAGTGGTTTCTTGTATGGAGGTCAAGAAGGCTACAGAAGGTGGCTTCTGCCTGCCCTAACCTGTCCTTACTGTTGTTGATCGTATCCTAGAAATATCTATTACCTAATGATTTAAAAGTGAAATCTGGGCCAGTCGCAGTGGTACATACCTGTAATCCCAGCACTCAGGGAAGGCAAAGGCAGGCATATCTCTGTGAGTTTGAGGCTACAAACTGACCCCAGGACAGCCAAGGCTATACAGAGAAATCCTGTCTCAAAAAACAAAACAAACAAAGTGAAATCCAAAATAAAAGAGCCAGGAGTCATCCCTATGGCTGGCAAGCTCAGTGCCTGGCAGGGCCTCCAGGCTTTAGGCTCCATGTCCACAGACACAGCATGGTGGGAGCTCTGAAGAGGTCTCAGCTGCTTGGAGGATGCCCGCTTGTGTTGGAGAGAGCAACTGCTTTGTCCTGTCTGCTGTTTCCAGTGCTGACCTCACCTTGGCCGTCACAGGCACAGGGAGGAGTCGTATCTAATCAGGCCAGAGTGTAGTTTAGTCAAGTTTATTCCCCTACACACACACACACACACACACACACACACACACACACACACACACATAAATGCAAATAAATCTTCAAAAGAGGTAAAAATGCCTCTCCAAATCCCAGACTTCTAGCAGATGAGTTTGAGAAGGACACACACAGAAACCATGGAAGAACTTGTGGAGCTTATACATTCTATCTACATCTTAATGCTTAGGGTCCTGCCTAACACACAGAGCCGGGCAAATTCAAACTCTTGACACTATTGGTATTTTTATCTCGTGCCTACTACCCCAACAGCTGAAATAGTCACACACCTTCTATGCACTCTTTCCACACACTCCTTACTGCTTTTCTTCCGTAGTTACTTGTGATTGTGTAAGAACCTAACACCTTATGTAACCACATAAGTTAGGTCTGATGTTGCCGGACATGTGATGAGCGCTTAAATATTTAGCAGGTGAAACTGGGCCTTGAAGTGTGGGGGCATCAGTAATCTTTTCTGTCTCTTTCTCCCATGTTCCTCTCACAACCTCTCCTTCTCAAACCCTGGAGGCTTCTGACAGTGTGGTCCCTATTACGTGTGTCTTGTATTGTCTTTGGTTATTTAAGCAGGTTGAGCCACACCTTATCTTATTGCCAGAGGAAACAAGAGCTGGGTCTTCTGAGAGAGCCCACAGGACGTGCACATGCCTGTCCCTCCTGAGCACTGTGAACACTTGCCCTGAACTACTTGAGGCTGGTGGGGACCCAGTAGGCACTCAACCCTTAACCTTTCTACCTGGCTTCTTTCCCAGGGACAGGAGCTGACCATCCGACAGATCTCCCTGCTGGGCTTCCGGGACCTGGTCCTGTTGAAGGTGAAGCTGGGTGACCTGCTGCTGTTGGCACAGTCCAAGCTGCCCTCATCTGTTATACAAATGCTGCTCATTCTGCAGGTAAGCTCTAGGGGAGGCCTGCCCCTTAGGCCAGAGCAGTGAAGGGACCTTCCATGGTGGAGGCGAGGAGCACCAACAACAGAGAAGTGTAGCTGAGCTGTGCATTCTTCTGCTTGTTCATCCATGTTTCTGGGTTCACTGGTTCACACACCTCTCAGGCCCCATTGCTCTATTCAGGGCTGGTATTGGAGTAAGGGGAGGAAAAACAAACAGACAAACACTTGGAACCTGATTTACTGGGTGCTGTGGATTTCTCAGTCCCTGTGAGGGTGGAATTTGTGTGCTCACATTCCCTCTGCTCTGAACACTGTGGTCTGGGACAGTCAAGACAGATTCTAAACTTTCTTCTCATGCTTTGTTCCCTCGGCACCCAGCCCAGGGTCTTGAGCACAAAAGTAGGAATTCACTGTGGTGCCAGCTCTTGAGGAGTAGACATCCTTCTGTGCTCTTCATCTATGCTAAGGAGCCAAGCATTGCAAATAATGACAGAGTCTCTGTTACAGTTGTGTCAAGATAGACCTAGAACTCATAGATGGGCTTCAAGACAAAGTAGGACCATGTCAAGTCTCAGAGCCACTAGTCAGCTCTGGTCACTTCTTGGGTCTCTGGATCATTCTTCCGTATTTTTCTCAGATACTGTTTCTTGTATCCTGGTTGCTCTTGGACTTTGTCTTTCTCCATTTGTGGAATTATTTGGACCCAATTAGATGTGACATGGTACAGTGTTTGTTTCCAGAGAGACACTACCCAGATGGCTCCATGCTGTCTTCTCATCCCAGTCCTAAATCAGCAACAGGAAGATGAGCTAACACTCTCAGGCTCTGTTTGTTTGCAGGCACCAGGACTATAAATGTGCTGTTTTCTTAAACAATTCTAATAACCATGTTATGAGGTCAGCATTGTTGCTATTCCCATGCTCCAGATGAGGAAACAAAAACAGGATGCTTATGCATTTGAGTGAAAATTCTCAGCTGGTAAGAGGTAGTAAGAATCCAAGACACAGAGCTCTAAACATTCCGTTCCCTCTTGTGGGTAAGGGATCTAGTTGGTACATGTTGGGCTTGGGGATGCCCTTTACCTAATCAGCCATGACCTTGAGTTGGGTCAGGTGGGAGCAACATGCCCTGGGGAGCCCTTTCCCATGGTTGAGTGTGCAGTTCTCAGGTCCCAGCCTCCATCAGGCTCTTGATGGCTAGTAGAAGGTCACCAGCTTCATCTCCCACCAACTACTGTGCTTTTGACTATCTTGGGGCCATCTCTCTGCATATTCCCCTTTCTTGTAATCAGAAAGGAGGAAGTGTGGTCTTAGAGTATCATTCTAGATGGAAGGGAAGAGAAGGATGGGCGTGGCAAAGCGTCTGCAACTTAGTGCCCAAATATGGGTTGTAGAAAGGGATTCTGGGAGTGAGGTTAGGAAGCTGGGCTCCACTTTCTGTTTTCATTTATAATGCTTTGGGGAGGAATCCAGTATTAGTTACTTCTCCTTTAGCTGTGACAAAACACCTGATAAAAACAAACTTAAAAGAGGAAGCGTTTTCTTGAGCTTATAGTAATCACCCCAGAGAAGGCAACAGGAAGGTGAGGCAGTTGGCCGTATTATGTCCTGTATCTGTATCAGCAATTAGATAAGGGATGAATGTTGATGCTGTGCTGGCTAACCTAATCTAGATAAGCCCTCACAGATAGGCTCCCAAGGGGTGTTTCCACTACCACAGTCAAGGCCAGCTACCACCCATCCCTTTCTATCTGTGGTCATGGCTGCCTTTTGAGGGTCCTCCCCAACTGAAGCTGGAGCAGGAGGACCTGTTTCTGTCATGAAAGCCTTTTGAGGTTCTGGGTTCTGTGTGAAAGAGCCCAACAACACATGCCATCACCCCTTAACACTCCTGAAGATATACCAGAAGGACTTCCATCTGCTCTGGCCGGGTCTCACCCACCATGCTGTGTACCTACGGCTCCTTTCAGGCTGATCTGAGGAAATCTGCTCAAGTGTCCCTGGGCCTACAGCCTCTCCACCCTTCCATCAGATATTAGAACCTGACTTACCTGGTGCTTTGGCCTTCCTGCTCCCAGTGGGGCTGAAGTCTTTGTGCTCACTTTCCCTGTCCTCGACACACTTGTCTGAAACAGTCAAAGCAGACCTTCAGCTCTTTTTTCCTTCCATGTGCCCTTAGCATCCAGCACAGTGTTGATAAAAAATAAAGTAGGTGTTTGTTGAATATGGTTCAGGAACTGGTGGAGCCAGTTAGTAAGAACCCCAGGTCCCTGGCCTGAATCCCATTATGGCTTCTTTCTTTAGAAGCATGAAATACAGCCAGAGAAGCTCCCTGGCTATGTTGAGGCTCTGGAAAATTGCCCCTCTGTGGATCACTGTGTTTTTCTCACTTTGAGGTGATAGAGGGTCAGAGAGGATAGATGACTAACTCTGGAGTGCCAACTGATCTATGTGTGCAGGACCAGTCAGCCATGCCTCATCTTTTGCTCTCTCTCTACACCCCCCCAGCCTTCTTTTCTGCCTCTCCTGAGCTATTGGAAACACCGTTAGAACTTCTAAGATAGTCATACTCCAGGGCAGGGCACTTGGCAACTTTCCCCTCTGAGCCTCCTCAGAATAGGTCTCCTGAGCCTCTGTCTCCCTTGGGAGATGCAGAGCTACCAGGGAGGATGGCAGCAATCAATGTAGGTCTTTCCTCAGTCCAAATCTATTTTCTAGGGCATGAGGGGCATCAGCCTGGGAGGCTGAATAGAATAGTCAGGGAATCCTCTCTGGGGCCACTTCTGCTGAAGAGAATATACTGTAAATTGTTCTTTCCTAGGCCCTTACACTCCACAGGGACATGAGACCTGGGGATGATGTTTCCAAAATGACCTGACTCTGATACGAAGAAAAGGAGTCTTTCTCAGACTTCGGCTCTCCTTTTCCATCAGTCTTCCAAACGTCCTTGAGCCAGTTCCTTCTTTCCCAGAAGATTCAAGGGCATCTCCTGCTATTCTAGGTAGAAATCTCTGTTCCTCAAAGTGTCCCACCCAGAGGATGAAGGGAGACCTTCAGCGAGGATGGGGCCCTGTCCAATAGGCAAGATGTGTGACATTGTCCTGGCGGGTCCTGTGTCTAGTTTGATAATCTCCCATTTTCCACTTAACATTCTTAGTAATTTTTGAATGTAGGTCTCAGCGTCTTCATTTCATAGTGGGCCATGAAAAGCTGTCATTCACTGCCTGTGTTGTGCTAAGTGGTATAGCAGTGAGACAGAAGACTGAGTAGTTAAGGACCATGTCCCTGGGAGAGCTACCCAGCTTCAAGCTGTGTTATCATCCATTTTCCTCCTTTCCTTTGCCAGTTCTTTTTCCTGTCATGTCTCTGGGAGAGGGATGGGGGAGCTAGAGAAGAAGCTGATGAGAACTATCAAGGAAAGAAATAAAAGAAAAATGTTTCCTGAACTTTGAGACCTAATAAAGGTGGTTTTATGGCTTGGACCGCTCTGCCCTGAGGTTTGGTTTGGTTCCTGAACATTTTTCTTCCTACTCACTTGAGCACCCCACAATGGTTTGGACAGGCCTTTGTGTGTCTTCCTAAGTGAAGCAGCTTCTCTCCTTTTCCTTTCCAATGCTATGTATTCTAATGCTTGAGCTCAGGGAGAGTGGAGCTGGAACAGATGTTGTGGAGAAAACTGTGCCTATTTCCAGTGCCATAGTCAAGTTCATCCAATGGATAGTACCTTTCTCTGCATCTGTCTCTTCCCTTCCATTTTCGGTTCCAGACTGCAAACTCTGCATACATTCTGTAGCTTCTGCTCAGGTTTCTTGTTTCCCTAAACCATCCAACGCCAAGGCATCTGCATCTTATTTAGTGTAGCAGAGAAGGACCTAGGAAGAGCCTGTTTCTTTGGGAACCACATCCCAACTATGCATCCCTAATCTTTAGGAGTTGGTCCCACCTACTTGACCCCGTAGACAACTCTGGGGTCATGGTGAGCTTCAGCTTTTTAAGGAAAGCCATTGAGGATCTATTCTGAGAATTTGAGGTTAAGCACAAAGACCCCTGGAGTCTCCCTTCTTTTCCACTCAGGCCCTTGTTCCTTTCCAGGTGGTCTCTGGGTCCTAGCCACCCCCCAACAGGAGGGCACGCTTTCATGCCCATTCCAGCGAGGAACAGTTCACAGGGAGCCTGCTGGCTTTCTAGAAAGCAGGTTTCTACCAGCTCCTTTCCAGTTTTTGCTGTCATGCATTTATTTTGGTTGGCTTTTACCCAAGGCTTAGTTTGAGGACTCTTCTGTGGTGGACTGCTGAAATTAGGCCTAGAATTGCCCTTCCTTTCTCCTGTTCTGGATTTTTCTGTGCTTTTACTCTGTTTCCTAACTTGGTAACAAGTGACAGTCGTGCATGGATCCAGAGCCAGATTCCTTGGATTCTAGTCCAAGGGTGGGTGAGTTTTGTTGTTGTTGTTGTTGTTTGTTTTTGTCATTTATTGGCTGTGTCATAGGAGGCAAGTTCCTTAAGCCTCCTGATCTTTATTTCTGGTCATTGGAAAGGGGACCTGTCTTTGATTGTTGGGAGGCCTGTGTTGGCTCACGTGCAGTGCTTTTGTGAAGTTCCTGTGTGCTGTGGGTGAGCTTACTACTGTTCTGTGGATGTGATAATTGCTGAGCCTTGCCGCCCCTCACCTTTAGGAAGAGTTAAGACTATGCTACCTACAATGTCCTGGGAAAGCCACCCAACTCCAAATCTTGCCTTTCCCTGCCACCTATTGTTTCATCTCCATGTCCTGTTGCCTCTTATTCTCGTCCATTGATTGACTTGGAACAAGTGACCAGTGCTTCTGACCTGTTGTCTTCATCCCAACCACCAGGAGGCTGACTTTGGCCACACTGCCTTGTACATGGAGGAAGGTCATTGGCAGGCATTGACAAATGTCAAGTGCCATGACACTTTTCATTGACTTTTCTCTGTCTCGGCTGTTCATTTGCAGAGTGTTCATGAGCCCACAGGCCCAAGTGAGGGCTATTTGCAGTTGGAGGAGCTGGTGAAGCAAGTGGTGTCTCCCTTCCTTGGCCTCAGCAGGGACCGCAGCTGCTCAGGCCCCACGTACTCACTGGGTAAGAAGCACTTAGCTCTGAAGTCTAGACCGGGGGATAATGATATCTATTACGTTGTACCAAGCACCAATTGTCTACTCAGCACCTTGTTCCAGTGAAGGCCAGTGCAAATCGTGTTGGTTACAGATGTTCCTAGACCATGTGGCAGCTGCCCCGCCCTTCTCCCAATCTTCCCCAGAGACTGGTTCCAGACTCTGTAATGAATGAAACCTGTGTCATCCATGCCTTTGATCAATGGCTTTGATCTTTCCTGTGTGTCTCAACATTAATGTTTTTTTTTAATACCAGAAGCTGTAATTTCTTATTACATTTGTCTTAGGCTTACTATTGCTATCATGAAACACCATGACAAAAAGCAACCTGGGGAGGAAAGGGTTTATTTCACACACAGTTCCATATAACAGTTCCTCATCAATGCAGTAGGGGCAAGAACTCAAGCAGGGCAGAAACCTGGAGACAGGAGCTGATGTAGAGACCATAGAGAGGTGCTGCTTACTGGCTTGCTCTCTATTGCTTGCTCAGTCTGCTTTCTTATAGAACCCAGGACCATTAGCCCAGGGATGAAACGACCCACAGTGAGCTGTGCCCTTGAGTATCAATCACTAATTAAGAAAATGCCATACAGGCTTGCCTAGAGACAGATCTTATGGAGGCATTTTCTTTCTTTTCATATATGTATGTGTGTGTGTGTGTGTGTGTGTGTGTGTGTGTGTGTGTGTGTGTGTATGTATACATATGTATGTATATATATGTATATTTAACTTTTTATTGATTCTTCTTCACATCCTGCACCCCAGTCCCGCTCCTCTCTCCATCCCCTTGTATTTGACCTCTGCCTTTGCAATGTCCCTCCCAAAATAAAGACGCACAAACAATGAAATAAGCAGAACAAAGCACAGAAAACATCTCACCATGGAAGCTGTAGTATGTCACAGTATGTCCCACAGTATACCCCTCTATCCACACATCTTTACTTGTAACTGTTCATTGCAATGAGTCATTGGTCCAGTTTGAGGTCTCTAGCTTCTGTGACACTATCAATATTAGATTCTCACTGGGACTCTTACTGGCTATCCTGTTGTGTCATGGAGGTCATGCAGCTTTGGATCAGTAGGACCAGCCTGTTCACGCGGTTCACACATGATGAAAGTCCTGGATCTGGGCCTGGGTAGTAGCTGAGCTAGTCAGCCTGCTGGCTCTCCCTTACCTACTTCACCAGGGAGAGCCCTCCAGCACTGCTTTGGCTAAGCTACCCAATGCTGCCATCGGCAGGAAGCAGGTCAACTCTCCTGCTTTCATGCTCCTGGGGTCAGCTCACCCACATCCATCCCACTCTCCCAAGTGCTGCAGCTGGCCAGGGGCTGGGCCAGCTCTCCAGCTTTCATGCCTTTGAGGCTGGCTCACTGGTTCCTTCGCCACCAGGGCCAGCTCCACTGTGTTGCTCAGGGAAGGTGCAAGGCCCATTCTTGTGCTTTCATGTCCTTGAAGCCAGCTTTCCCAACTACCAAAGATGATGAGGGATGAGGGGTGGGTGAAGGACATCACTTCCATGCCCACTGCACCTCATGGCAGATGAGTGGTGGGGTTAGCTGTCCCATGGAGATATTTTCTTAATCAAGGTCCTTGCATCTCAGATGACTTTAGCCCATGTCAAGTTGACATAAATCTATCTGGTACAACACCCTTCACTCATATGAGTGGAAACTTAACCATGATATTTTTTCCCTTGACAGCGGCCCACCATGTGAAGCCACCGTGTCACTTTCACAGTCAGATATTTCATCTGCTCTTCCCACTCTGTTTCTGTAGGTACTGCAAGGTCTTTCATTGTAAGGGGTGGGGTTCCTGGGTTTAGGAGTAAATTCCTCTGGGACCTCCTGGTGGCAGTAAAGCTACTGCAGCTCCAGGCACTGTCTTATTCTCTGTAAAGAATCTAGAAGTGAATCAGATCTATACCTTCTCCCAGTGAGAGCACAGTGTAGATCATTTCAGCAGAAACATTTGATGACATATTATAATACACCGTACACTAGTTCCTAACAGAACCACTGTCTTGGTGAGAAAGATTCTTCGGTTAGTACCTAAGATGTAAGCACAGAATCTGATCTCTTCCTCACACCCATTGCAGAAGATCTGAAAGCTATCACTTTAGATGCTCACTTGCTTGTTTCTGGCTTCGGCATCTGCACTGGTACCTGACATACAGCCACACAGCAATACAGCAGGTACTTGAAAGTGCTCGTTAAGCTGATGCAGGCAGTTGTACCCCCGAGCCAGGGCATCTACAAGCTGACACCCACAGAAAGGTGCAGAATGGGAAACAGAGCCTGGATCGGACTTGCTTGGCATTCTTCCTGCTGTGATGGAGTTGTAGCTGAGCTTCAACACCCAGGGGCCAAGGAGCAGTTTCCAGAGAACTTGCTGCCCTTCCTGGGCTTCTCTGTGTAGAAGGCTAAGCCTTCTACTGGCAGTTTTCCTGGCCCTGGTCCTGTCTCTCTGGAGATACTAGCCTCACAAAGCAGCCACAGATTGGAGGAGGCTGGCTCCAGTCAGCTGGCTCTATTCAGCTGACTCCCACGTCTGCCCACAGCCCCAGTCTCTGATCTCTTCCTCCCTTCACGTAAGATCTGAAAGCTATTGAAGAAAGACAACCTCCCGCCCTCTGCCCTAAGCTGGGTGCTATATTGCTATGGTCTCCACGGAGCCTACCTAGGCTCATGTCATTTCAGGGATGGGGACCCAGGAAAATGTCAGGATGTCAGCAGGTTGGCTGGGTTATGCCAAGAACTCCACCATATTCAGGGCCTAATGCCAGCACAGAGGAAGAAAAATATCTTTTCTTCAACCCCCATAAGCTCTTAGTTGGAATAGATTAACGAGTAAAACAAACAAGTGTATTGAAATATGTGTTCTCATATACAGGGGAGACATCCGGGGAACAAGCAGTTTTCAAGTAGTTGGCTTTGAATTCCTGTTTATGTAATGTGTTTAATAAAGAGCAATAATTTTGAGACAGGGTCTTACTTAGCCCAAGCTGACCTCAGCCTTACTATGTATCCAAGCATGACCAGCTTGAATGTGCTTCGTTGTCTTTAGATCACTGACCCTTCATGTTTTAAATTTTATTATTTTATGTGTGGGGGTATTTTGCCTGTATTTATGCTCTTGTGTGTCCAGTGCCTGAAGAGGCTAGAAAAAGGCATTAATTTTTCCCGGAACTGGAGTTACAGGTGGTTTTGAACCATCCTGTGCTGTTGGGGATTGAATTTTGGTTCTGTGGAAGAGCAGCCAGTGCTCTTAATTGCTAACCCTTTGCTTTAGCTCCCACTTTACGTTTCGAGGCATATCCTGGTCTCCCATGCCTGAGCGAGAGTAGATGTGTGCCGGGCAGTGGTGATGCGCGCCTTTAGTCCCAGCACTCTGGAGGCAGAGGAGGCAGAACTCTGAGTTCAAAGCCAGCCTGGTCTACAGAGTGAGTTCTAGGACAGCCGAGTCTACACAAAGAAACCCAGTCAGAGTACATTTGAGAACTTTAAGAGGTGTAATCCATCTCCAGCCCAAATAAAAACGATATGTGTTTTTGTCAGATAAAGGAGGCCTGAGACTTTATTCTTGTATAAAGGACAGTGTATTTTTTATTTAAATTAAATTTTATTTCTTCATGTGCATGCGCATGTACACACATGTTCATCCATTCATGCCACGACCCAACTATGGCAATCAGAGAACAGCTTGTGGGAGGCCATTTTCTCCTTCCTTCATGTGGGTTCTGGGGTTCAGACTCAAGTTGTTAGGCTTGGTGACAGGCACCTTTACCTGCTGAGCCATTCTGCCAGCCCAGTCGTCGTTTTTGAAACATTGTCTTGAAAGGGACAGAAGGGTGGCCATTTTTCTCTTTTGAGCAATTTTTAAATTACTATTATTTCATTTAATAGTAATCTCAGCAGATTACAAGGGCTAAATTCACTGGGCTCTTTGACTTAGGATCCCAAAGCAAAGAGCCTTCGACAGTCTATATCCCTCATTCCCACACTGTCAGCACTGAGGACATGAGCTCATTAAGGAATAGTCACATAGGTCTTCCTGCTCTTCTATTCCTTAGTCTAAGGGGTGTCCCAGATCGGACATTTCATCCCAGGCCTCTGAGTGTTAAAAGCTGAGGTGATTTTTCTTACCCTTTGGGGATCAAGACCTCTATGGATGGTTAAAGTAGCATTTTCTCAGTCTGGGACAAAGGGTATTAAGACAGTAATTGAGGTGTTGGAGATAATGGCTCAAAGGTTAAAAACAAATACATACTGCTTTCAGAAGACCCAGGCTTAGTTTCTGGAGCCCACCACAAGCCCCTGTCGCTCCAGCTCCAGGGAGAGTACAGACCTCTGACCTCTTTGAGTAGGTGCACTTTGGTGCACAATACTCACACATGGACACATAATTTTTTTTTTTGAACGGACAGTGATAAAAAATTAAAAGTCTCACTTGTTAGGATAGAGGGGCAGAGTTATATGGTGGGTTCCTAAATCACGCCATGTGACAGGCTCCACGTGGGAGGTTTTATTGAGGGAAGGGGGTTGAGTCACAGAGACTCTGGGTAAGGACGGGGAGGGGGGGGGAGAGAAAGAGGGAGTAGAGAGAGAGAAGGAGGGAATAAGCAAAGGGTGAGTCCTCTTATATGGCCCAGCACATGCTCAGAGGGAACAGGTTGTGTACAGGTCCTCATGTCACCACCGATTCTGGAGGCGGCCTCACAGATGCCTGATGACGTCCCGCTTGTTGGGTCCCCTGGGGGTTGGTGTAGAGACGCCTGGTATCCCAACATTCTTCATTTAATTAAAAAGTGAGGAGCTAGAAAGGGGGTGATGGTAGGGAGGACATAGGGGCTACTTGTGCTCTTCAAGCTACTTCCTGCTGATTAGGGGCATTGTTATTCTCCGGGGTATGGCTGTTTCCCACCATCAGGGTTGATTGGGAGGTCTTTGTCATCTGGTTCTGTGGGCAGAGGTTGATAATCCTGTAAGAGTAAATAGTTAATGGTATGGTTAGAGAATTTTTGCTTTTGTTGTTGGAGGAATGTAGAGAAAAAGTTAATAAAGCAGGGTATGAAAAGCAAAAGTAGAAAGATAAGCAAAAGAGTGGTGAGGAAGGGCAGAATACACTTCCATATGAGATTCTCAAAGGCCCAAGAATTAGAGGCCTCGAGGTCTTCCCTTTGCTTTTGTAGATTTGTCTGGAGTTGTTGGGTTTTGTCTTTTGTTGTACCATACTGGTTGACATAAAAACAGCATTCTTCTTGGAGGAAGATGCAAAGGCCACCTTCTTTAGCGGTGAGGAGATCCACATTGGAGTCACAAGAGATCATTCAATCTGAGGCAGGGCTGTGTTGTGGCTCCTGGGACCAGAGCAGCACAAGACTGTCAAGGCAGCTGTGATGTCATCTAAAAAGCTGCTCAGCCGATGGCCATGCTGAACATTGTCCAGGCTTTTGGCAGGTGGGCATGGCCTGAGGAGGGTGCTGTTATTGGTACTCTCAGGGTGTCTGAGAAGTGTCCAGGTTTTAGAGGCCAGAAAGGTAGAGACTCAACCCTGTATCCTTGACTCCAAAGGTGCTGGGCAGTGTCTTGTTGGACCTGGCCTGGAGCCAGGACCTGGAGTCTTGTTTTAGAACAACAGATAAATGATCCTATCCACGACCACAAATGGAACATGTCTGTGTGTGTGTGTGTGTGTGTGTGTGTGTGTATGTGTAAGTCCTCCCTCCAAAGCCTCACTTTTTTTTTCTTTATTATAACAACAACAAAACCCCCAGAACTTTGTCGAGGCCAGGCCCACGTGCTACCTTTCAAATTGCCCAAATTCCTGAGCTGCTTGGGATTTCCTGAGGCTCTCAGGGCCCCTCTGCTGCAACAGATATTTAGGAGGCTGGATTCCTCCTCTCACAAAAGGGCTGTCTTCCCTCCACCTCTCTCCTTTGTCTCCCTGGAGCCTTCTATAGAACCTTCTCTACATGACAAAGGCTGCCTGGGCCTTTCAGGCTCTGGACTAGAGCAGGAGTCAGCGATGGCTTTGGTAGGCAAGGGCATTCTGGGAGCCTAGATCAAAGGCCTTTTGAGGAGCCAAACCCCAACAAAAGACAGCCTTGCCCAGGCTTCACCTCTTTGAGACTTTGAAGAAACTGCCATTGCTGCCTTCCACAGGGATGAATGCCTGGCTCGGTTGGGGGCCTGTGAGGAAGGAATAAAGGCTCTGCTGGCACAGCCTCCTGAAAATAAAGGAGGAAGGGGAGGTGGTTTGAGAGTGAACCCTCCATGAGGTGGCAGACATTGCAAGGAAACTAGGTCTCAGGCCTTTGTTCCTAGGAAGACAATCTTAGTGAGTTCCTCAGTGGGAGACTCCATTCTCTTTCCCCAGGTGACATGGTGCAAAAAGGAGAGGTAGAAGAAAATGAGACCAAACAAATGACAGTCAGGAAGCTGCCTGTCAGTCCAGGTCCAGACTTTGGTTTGCAGGCTTCCCAAAAAGCCCAGTGCAGTTGACTTGACGAAGTCACCATTCAGTTGGCTTATCCGAGGGTTAGCTCATCAAGGAAGCACTGTCTGCCAGGAAACTTGACAAAACATGAAGTTCATGTGGCCTTGGCTCTGCCAGAAGCAAGTTGGGGACCCCAACATTCTCCCACAAAGTAGAAGGAAGTAGGCCTCTCCTGCAAGTCACTGCAGGGTGAGCGAGGAGGCAACGTGGAAAGAGTGGGGGCCTTGGTGACTACAAGGGTCAGGGCTCAGTTGTGTGGTCTGGTGTTAGTTACCTGCCTTCTGGGAGCTACTTGGGGCTTGAACACCAGCTCTGGCCTTCTGCTGGGGGGGGGGGGGGGGGGGTAGAAACTGGA